TTTGATTACTTGGACAAACTGGTCGATAAACTGGTGGACTGTGGTAAAACGGAAGTCTGGACGAGAGAAATGAAGCAACAGCTGCGGTTATCGAAGCAATACCTTAAGAGTGACTACAAGGTACTTTATTTCGTTTTATGGTTCAGTATGAGGTTTGGCAGAAGAAATTCATGAAAATGGGACAGACATTATACACAGCAAGTCTTGCGAATTACCTTCCTAAAGTGAAAATATCTTGCTGGATAGTTTTGGTATATTATATTTGAAAATCAGTATCAGAAATAAACACCTAATGGAGCGTGGGTTTTATTCGAGGGACGCTTAATTCGGAGTATGGGGGGACGGGGGTGTCGCTTAGTCAAAAAAGTATTGCAGTTGAAATTGTATACGTAAAACACAGTTGTGGTTTGCTTTGTCTTCAGTGTGTTTCAGGTCCACGTGGTTGAGTCGTCGAACATTGCTGATCACTGTGGGACTTACGCCCTAAGTGATTTGACAGACCCTGACTTTCAAAGTGAGTATTCCCATGCACTTTGCAATGACGAGGATAAGGAGGACATGTTGCACACTATTAAGCAAGCAAAAAATAACATCATGACCTGGAAAGCCCATCAGTTGCGCTCCGTTCACCAGGATCAAGCCAAATGTTCTGTCTTAGAGGCTAACATCAAGAGCAAATCTGATGTGTTCCTCGTTCAGGAGTGGGCGATGAAACTCATGCCACGGAAATTTTGAGAGCCGCAGTCGGATTTTTTTGCTAAGCGTGGGCCACCATGGCATATTACAGTTGCAATCAGAAAGTAGGAGGAAAGCGAGCGCTTTGAGTCTCAAAAATTTGAGCATGTCTTTCAGAACTGTTCACACGACAGCGCCGCCGTGGTATCTATCATGCAGGACTGTCTTGCCTTACTGAAGAAGGAAATGTCGGAATTAGAAAGAACTTATATTACAGGCAAGATAACGCGGGCTGTTACCACAGCGGGTATACAATTTTTTCAGCTAAACTAGCAGGTGACATCGCTGGGGTGGTTGTAGAACGGAACGACTTTCCGACCCTCAAGGCGGCAAAGGAGTCTGTGACCGTCAAGCAGCAACTATCAAGGAAGATGTAGGAAGACATGTTAACGAGGGTCATGATGTGACAACAGCTGTGGAGCTGAAAACTGCCATAGAGTCTGGTCCAGAGTCTTGTGCGAAAGCTAGTTACGTCTCTCTCAATACGTCAATTACTCCGCCAGTCAAATGGGAGGGTGTTAGCTTGCTTAACAACTTCAAGTATGAAGAGAGCGGAATACGAGCGTAGAGAGCGTTCAATGTGGGTCCAGGGAAGTTGATACCATGGTCTCAATTTGAGGGCGTTTTGCAGATCCCGGAAGTCCTAGAAGTGCTTCACCCCCTTCCCCCCCCCCTCCATCGCAGACTAAGCCATCTTTCAAGAGCGTGAGACACAGACATGTAAAGAAAACAGCTACACGGGATCAAGAAGCAACCAGCGAGACCACCAGTCAAGACCAAGATGATGATGATAGTGAAAATGATCAGGCCTCACTACTTTTCCCGTGCCCCGAGGAAGGATGTATAAAGCCTACAGCCGTTTTACATCGTTACAAGCACTTCTAGACACGGGTAAACACAAACAACTGTCTGAACAGGAAACACTGTATGACAAGGCTAAACGAGTTTACGCTTCAAAGCTAATGGATGAAAGTGGCAGGATTTCCACTGTGCAGTTACAATGTAAAGAACAGAGTCAGTGCTTAACTCCCCTTCCAGTGGGATGGGCTCTAAAAACAATTACCAAGAAGGCTCGTTTTACGCAGAAACAGAATGAATTTTTGAAACAACAATTTGAAATTGGCGAGCAAAGTGGTAGGAAAGGAAAGCAGATCTGAGTGAGGTCTCGAAATTAATGAGATCTGCTAGGGACGAGTTGGGAACTCGCCGGTTTCAACCAGAAGTTCTAACAGGACAGCAAATCGCTGGATTCTTCTCACGAATGGCTACAAAGAAAAAGCTGGCTCCCAGTAGAGTGAACCGTGGAGAATCGGACGACGAGGTCCTAGGAGAAGATAACAGAGCAGCGGATCGAGGCGGAGGCGGCCCATTTGGAAATCTGTGTATATGTGATGAGGGAGGTTTCCCTTCAGCACCCAATTGTATCCTCGTCAGGCTACAATATCTGTGAGCTCATGCCAGCGCGCAAGAAGAAACCGACATCGCTAAGTGTGGATATGCTGCGTAGCATTTGCACTGAATTGAGCGTGGATGTCTGCGATATAACGCAAAGGCGAAAGAGTCCGTACATCAGTCGCCTGTCGCAGCTTGTGGACGAATGCAACTGTGGCTCGTAAAACCGAGAGAATTTAATAAGCTGTTTACAGTTATGAGATTATTTAGTAGTTAGCAGGTGGGGGTGAGGGCGGAAATCTGCATTTGTACGTTTCGTAGAACCTTACAAGGACCTAGCCCCGGGGTGCCCCCCTCCCCCCTCCCCGGGAACCGAGTCAATTTCTGGTATGCTGCATAAGTTACTCTACACTATTTGACCTTCACCCAACTATAACGATGCTCGATGAGCGGGATAGATTTTCGTAAGTTGCACGCGTAAGCTAGTTGGTTTTTGAAAACATCAACACCGTGCCAAAATAGGCCTATTTCCCTTTAGGTTCCGGACAGCGGTATGACGGAAGTTGGGTCGACTACATTGTTGTACTTTGTTCGTAATGAAGTCAAATTCCACCGAGAATCTAAAGAAGGAACACAAAATCGCTTTTGAATATGTCACGGAACTTCCCCAGCAATACACTCTGTTTATTCAGAGAAAAGTGCTTTGTTTATTTTTATACCGATGCGATTTAAACTTTTCGGCGGCATAAATTAAGCTACTATTCCGTGATAAAATTATCTTTCACTATTCCGATTTGTGTGTCTGTCAGGGCTGTTTTATTCTATCAGCAGGTTAACTAGTTAATCCTCTCTTATTAAAGCAACATTTTGCCCATCAACAACACAGATATTTTAAAGTATCACCTGGTTTGGGGTCGATAATTTTACGAAGTCGTTCGTACGTGACACAATGAAGTAGATTACAGTGTGATTTGAGTTTGGTGTTCCTTGTCTTTTTTCCTCTTGTACGCGATGGTCAAGATAAATGCGCTATATTTCTAACGTTTCATCGGCGTAAAAGCATTTCGACCCGTTTTTTTGAAGCCTCTGGCCTTTTTTTGTTGTTGTTGTTGTTGTTGTTTTCTTGTATGGGGTGAGTTGTGTTAAAACAGCTTACATTGTCAATTTCAATGGCGCTGAATTGTAATTATCTGGAATTTTGACCGGCGTTCACGCAAAACTGCAAATCTAAACCTCAATGACTGGACTCTCTTTGGTTAAAATATCAGAAGATTTAAAGCACTACCGGTCAGCTTTTTGCCTCGCTGGATTTTGATTATTTTTGAGTTTTGCATTAATGAGAAAAGTGTGTTTACTTAATCGGGGCTCAGTTCGCTCGGAAAGGAAAAGAGATAAAAATAATCACTATGTCTTGACCAAGGAAGAGTCAATATATGCAATTAAAGTTGAGAAAGATTCACAGCGATGTAAACGTTTGTGTCGCAGGAAGCTGAAAAATGTATTTTCCGCCGGTCAGTGTAAAACGCAGACTGCAGACC